GTCACGATCGATCGCCAAGCCCAGACCAGAGCCACTCCTCTGCCTTTATCAGCTCTCCTGCCTTGGGTCTCAGGGAACATTCTCACACGCCGGATACCCTTCCTGACCTTCTCCCGCACCTGTCTCGGTCCTCTCCAGCAACAGGTGATCCCGTGTCTGGGCTCAGGGCCCTACTCCCCAGTCTCCACCATCCCAGGGTCACGGGGCCTCCCTGCTCTTCAGTAATCCTGCTCTTCTTTTGCGTTGGATTTTCCAAAGCAGTCGTTTTAAATCTTTTCCCTTCTCCTTATGACTTCTGTTCCACCCGCCTCCTCAGGAATGGGCCGTCTACTGAGAAGACGAGGGCATCTGTATTGTCTACTTCCCTCCATGAGACTGAAATGTGCTTGTTGCTCCTTCCTTCTAACCGCTCTGCTGTCTCAACTGAGGTTCCCTTCTACCCTTTTCCATGGGCTCTTCAGCCACTCTTTCGGTCTCCTCAAACACCCTGATTCCTGTCTTTCTTGTGCTTTCGGTATGTCCTTTTGCTTCACCTATTATTTTCTTAAAAAAAAACCAACAAAATGGCCAGCCTACTAGAAAGGGCAGTCTCTACTCACAGCCCCACATGTAAACCTACACTATCCCGTGGCCTCCACCTTCGGAAACGCTCTCACGCCCTCCCGACCACCAAAGCCAGCGGCTTTGCGTGGCCCACATCCTTCTTGGCGTTACTGTGGCACCTCAGACTCAACGGGATCAGAAGTGAACTGCCTCCTCCTCCCGTTCCCTCCACTGCTGACTGCTCTCCCACGCCTCCCAGTGAAGGCCAAGGCCTCCTGCTCATCCCCACCTCAGCTGAGTTATCAAGCCTCCCTTCTTCCCACCACCATCATGTCTGTGTCACTCAGGACGCGCCTTCTCCGCGGCCACGGCCACCGGCATCTCTGTTCAGGCCCCGTGCACGTCGGCCAACACACCGCCCGCCCCAGTCTCCTGGGCTCTGTTCCCCTGGCTGCCAGGGCCTTCACAGACCCTCCACTGTCTCTCCAATCAAATTCTAAGACTCTAGCCTGAGAACGAAGGCCTTCTACGAACTGGCTCCAGCCTCTCTTTCCAGATCTCGCGACCTTCCCCTCTGCCATGTCATTTCGTGGACTTCACATTTCCTTTGAACTCTGGCAGGACTCATAGCTCCCAGAACCTGGCCTGCACTTTCTCACCTCCCTGCCCGAAATCAGGCCGGTCCGTCCACTTGTAATGCTCAACACTGTCTTTACTTATTGAAATCCTATTTTTCTCTTTTGAGATTTGGAAAAGATGCCATGTCTTCCCGTCTCCACAGCTGCGAAGTATTCCTTCCCTCCCCGAGCTTCCAGAGGTCAAACAGGCTCCTCTCTTTCTTATCCTTTTCCCACGGTCTTCAGTATTATAGTTACCTGTGCTCTGGCCCCATGGCCCCTATTAGATTGCAAGTTCTTGGGGACAGTGATGGTAGCAGCGGCTATAATAGTACCCATGGCCACACAAGCTCCTACCACCTTTCGGCTCTGTGCAAAGCATACAACTTCACCTCAGCAACCCTAGGAGGAGAGCCTCCATCCTCAGATGAGATCAGGTAACATGCCCAAGGCGGACGGACACCCAAGGAGTGGTAGAGCCAGAAACAGAATTTAGGCTTGCCTGACTTCAAAACCCATGCTCTTAACTACTAGGTGGTATTTCTCACCACCCACAGACTCAACCAATAACTACTGAATAAAGCATCGTCTCCATGAGTCCTGGTAGATGGGACAGTTCACTGAGCTGGGTTCCCCAGAGTTGCAGACTCTGCCTAGCCAACACATACATTAATAGGGAGAAGGCACAGACAGTTTAGGGTCTCTTAGAGGACGCTTTAAAAATATAGAAGAAAGTTTTTATGCCTCAAGACTTAGGAACATCAGGTGCACAATGAGAGAAAAACCTAATTCACCTGGATTGGGTAATAACCTGATTTTGTCTCTTTCCTTGGAACCACTCATGTCAGTGGGGGAATGAATCAAGACTACTCCAAGAGCCCTACTTAGATCATTTAGACCATGTTTAGTAGAAAATTCTGTCATCCGACGCTCTGCCACCAGCCCTGGGAAAACATGACAACCATACTCTGCTGACAGTCAGGACCAATGCAAATGTGGGGTCCCACTGCACGTGTGCACAGGAAAATACCGCATGGCACACACAGGTAGGAGGTAGAGACAAGCTGTGGTTGCTGCCTTCTAGATGCAAGTGGCTAAGGGCTGTAATCCTCCGAAGGGAATGTCATTATGCAGCTCAAATCCCATCACAACAAATACCGTTACAACAGAGATATCTGTATAACAAAAATCCTTTCAAGCTTTGGCTGACAGCCCACGTACTTCAAGCAATATTTGATGTGAGATTTGGAGTCTACAGTAATGGGAATTGACCTATATTTCCAAAGGTAAGATTTTAACGATTTCATCTGTAAATTCTCTCCCATGGTACCATGAGTTGGAATGATGTACGATCTAGGCCCATGAGCATGAAAACCAAACACAAAGCCAAGGACCAAATCAACCTTGCTCGTGAAGGGCAGAAGTCCTTCCTTTCATCTGGGGAGCACTGAGGTACAGGAGAAGGCCTCTGACCCACACCCTGACATGGAGCAGAACAAAGATGGTGTGTGGCCTCCTTTCCCTGAGGTGAGCACATGGCGGTACAGCGCGTGAAGACAGAGCACCGTGTTCAAATTCTGACTTACTAGCTGGGCCCCCCTGGACTGTTGCTTAACTTCCACAGAGCCTCCATTTCCTCATCCGTAAAATGTGACAAACATCACCTACTGTCAGGATTTCGGCAAGAACTGAAGGAAATGACTCCTAAAACAGGGCCTGGTGCATAGCATACGTGCTCACAAAAGTTCGTTCCCTCCTCGTGCCTCCCCTCCAAGACTCTGGGCTTATGCAAACTGTTTAAATGAGGTTAGTTGTAAGACCTAGTGAATGAGGTCAACAAAACGTATAGTCTCAAACACAGCCTGGTCAAGACAGTGCTCAGTGGAACACTGGGTTAAAAAGAGAAAATGGCAGAAGAACTAGAGCATGCACACTTTCATGATTGAAAGGAGGGTCTTCTGGCTAATGCAAGCTCTGTGTAAAATAAAATGCAAGTAATCAGGCAACAAAAGAAATGAGCTTTGATCACATGTATCAGAGGTCATCCTGAAAAATGCTGATAAACAAATTTGGAGGCATGTTTTCCTAGACTGGGATGTACTATGGCTAAAGCTCCCAAACACTCGCTTACTGCCCCTGGCCTGGTTCTCCGTGGGTGTCATTCTAGATGCAGGATGGCCCTTATTTGCTGACCTTTTAGCTCTAGTCTGGTGCACTGTATTGTCTTTCCTCGATAGGATACTACAAAAATTAAATATTAAAACCGATTCTAGTCTTCTCCATTTGGGACACATGCAGGTAAATAATTCAGGAATATTATCGACAAACTTCTCAACATTGCCCCAATTCGTGACATTTTAAATGCTACTGAATTTTAGATATGTGATTTTTTTTTTTCAAATTATGGGACAATCGAGTTTGTGGGGACAAAATTCCATGTAAGCTATTTGGAGAACACTCTTGGTGTTACACGTCTTGAGACAGAGAACGGGAGTCCTAGGAACATAATCTGAAGGCATGTCCGTTCACCCTTTCAAAATGAGTACTGGCTTTAAAATTCTTCAAAGGTTTCCCAAAGTGCTATCAGACCGCAGCAACTAGAGAGAACATGAGGTGGCCCACCATTTCTCAGAGTCACAGAGCATCAGTCTCAACAATGATTTACTCCTCTCCCTTCACCTTGACAGTAAGAAAGAGGCTCAGAGAAAAGTGTGTGCTAACGTTCATGTGTTCAACTCAAGGATATGTATGTTCAAAGCCAAACAATGAGTTTGCAGGACCTCTCCTGAGAGGCAACGGAGAAATAAAATAATAGGGCAGACCCAAATTCCAAGGTGCAGAGAAAAAGAAAGTGCAAGAGCCACTAAAAAGACAGGGGAGCCCTGGGTAGACAGCCCAAGACATCAAGAACAGAAAGAACAAAAATACGAAAGCAAGGTTACAACATCGACAAAGACCAAATGGTAGCAGCAGAGAAGGTATTTTTTTGAATTTAGTTTGCACAGAGCTTGCAAAGGACAATTCCAATACACGGAAGCTTCCAGCCGGTAACGAGCTTTCTGGTCTCTACTTTAATAACTGAAACCCCCTCTCCCTATCACCCTCGTCTTAAAATGGAGGCAGTAAAAACCACCAGATTGTACACTTGAATCTTACCACTGGTAAGGGCGTAAACCACAAGCATTTTTGAAGGTGTGCTAACTATTTCAGGCCACTAGGGTGCTTCTTCCCGCCCGAAAAGGCACATTTCACTTAATGATCCCCATCTAAACCCCAAGAATTGATGTCCCTCTTAAAAAGTGTACCCTTTCTTCCTTACACCAGTATCACCACACTAACTGTTCGGGAGGCATTTCAGGGTCCCCACAGGCGATGGAAAAGTAAAATGCAATTGTAATTGCACGGGCAATAACGCGGAAGGCAGGGGGAGAAAGAGTTAGCTCCTGCAACGCAAGGCTGAGAAACACGGTTCCTTAGAGAGGCATCCACTCCACCCGAGAGGAGCCTGCGCTGCCGAGGAAGTGACCTCGGGAGAGCAATCACGCGCCTGGACAGAGGCGCGGCCGCGCGCTCCCGCCGCTCCTCCCTCCTGCGCGTCCCGGGCCGGCTCGGTCCACCTGTCCAGCGGGCGGGCGGACGGGCGGGGGCGCGGGTGCCGGAGCGGGGAGGAGCCGGGCTGGCCGGAGCACCGGGGCGGCGGCGGCGGCTCCCCTCGTGGTCCTCCCTCCCGCGGGCAGCCCCGCCGGGCCTGCGGCCCCCTCCCCCGGCGCCCCCCGACTGCGTGCCCTGCGCCCTCCCCTCCCCCCCCTCAACCGCGCGCGTCCCCCCAGCGGTCTGTACCTTTACTCTGGGGAGGGTTCTGACTCCGGTCCCGGAGGACGTTGATCTGGTAGACGGCTCCGTAAGGCTCAAAAAGTTCTTTCAGCTCCTTTTCCGACCAGGACCGGGGGATCTGTCCGACAAACATCTTAATGGCATCTGGGTCTGGTTGGTCTGAGTGATCCAAAGCGCCGTTCATCTTGTTGGTTGTGCCGTTACTGTCAAAAAGGGAACCGGGAGCCAGAGTTAGGGCTGCACGGTGAGGGACAGGAAGAAAAAGAATGGGGGTGGGGGTGGGGGTGGGGGCGGGGGCGGGGAGGCGGAAGGAGAAGGAAGAGGAGCACGGGGCAAAGTGCCTAATGAGTCGTAGAAATTTGATGAACTAAAACAAAGCACAGGCACCATTAGGTTGCTCCGCGGCGGCAGCGGCTGCGGGCTCTCACTGCAGGCTGCTATTCAGCATCGCCGCCCGAGCACAGGGCAGCGCCCTGCCGGCTGTCACCCGGGGCGTGGACATCTTGAAGCCCGGCTCGGGAGGCAGCTGCAAGTTAAGTGCAGGTCTCGCTCTGCAAGGCTGCCACCAACGCATCCGCAGCGTTATCAGCCCCACACTGGCTCTCGTGTGCAAAGAAGGGCAGGGCTGGATTTCTGCTGGATTCTCCGCCGCCGCCCCACCCCCCGCCCCGCCTTTTGGAGGTTTATTTGGAAGACAGGAGAGGTGGTAATAATAAAGTCACATGAAAAGAAAATGAAACACTTGGCAGTCCGTCAGATGACTAATGCAAGATGCTGGTGATGAATTTGCAGAGTGCGCGAGGCATCCATGTGTGCATCAAATTAGTACGTTGTTGCTGCTCAGAATGGAAAGTGCTCCAGCAGTGTAGCTCGGCGCGGCGGATTGGCTGCCCACGCTGGAGAAAAGGACCGGGGCGGGGCGGGGGCTCCCGTTTAAAAAGCACATTGTTTATGGGATCCAGGCACAAAGGGTTTAATTCAGAGAGGCAAAGGCGATCTCAGAAATGCCTGCTTTGTGCCGGAAAAAAAAAAATGCAGCCCCAGAAAGTTGAGTTCCCACTAAAGGACACTGAATATTTCAAATCTTTCACACTCCATAAATTGCTCTCTGTATATCTGACTTCCAGATGTTGTACTTGAGTTCTAAACAATCACACGTTTGGGAGAGAAAAGAGGAAAGTCTGCCTTTTCTTCTCTTAGCTTCAGTAAATATTTGGGGCTGATACAAAGAGCGAGACCATAAGCTTTTACATATCAATCTTCTTTAATGCTGTTTTCCAAAACCCTCATTTGGAAGACAGAACGCTCTCATTTAGAATTCTGCCATTCTAGTCAACATCATGTTATATGATGATGAAGACATTCATTTTTTTAAAAAATTTGGATCCCTCCTATTTGAGCTGCAATAAACAGTAAAGCAAAATCCCCTACCTTCTTCATTCCTCCCAACACTCCTTAATGCACCCTAAAGCCACCTACTCTGCCAAGTGACAAGGCTGAATGCCCTGAGCAGCATTCATTTGCAGTGCTGTGTTCTTGATTTAACATCCCACCCTGTGAAAATAAAATGCACCTAAGCAAGTGCAAACCCTGCAGATATAGTACCTACAAAGCCACTTCCATGACCATGGGCTAGCCCCCAGCTCAGGAGGCAGAAAGGTCAGAAAGGGGCCACATGGACTAAAACTTCACTGCAAATGGCAGGTGTTATTTCCCCGTAGCCTGGGGGTAATAATTAGAAGATATTCAAGGATCTTAAGCAGGGTTCCTTATTAGGTTAAAGCCCATAATCAAGGACCACCAGAGCACCTCTAGTCTGCTGTGGACCTAGCTAGGGTTGCCCTGAGCCCCGGATAAAAAAAGACCCTGGGTGATGGCTAAAAGACAAACAAAAAGCCTGCAGAAAGCAGAAATCCTGAATTCAATTTAATCCCGAGAGGAAAATGATGGCAAATACTCTTTACTAGGTCCTGGCTCCAATTTCCACTTCTTCTCATTCCCCCTAGTTTACCACTTAAATTTTTTTTTTTTTATTCTTGAGATAAACAATCAGACTGTCTAACTTGAAGCACTTTCAGAGCTTTCTCTAATCAACCTTATTGTTATAAAAAATGTTCTGCTGAATAAAATTTTGAGTGCAAAATCTTTCAACAATTTAGGTGCAATGTGATGCTTGTTTATGGTAGAGGTTGATCGTTTATCTTGTTCTTAGGCACCTATACTTCTTCACAAATCACCCTGTGCAAATTCAGTGAACGCTGTAACCCCACCGAGCTGATTCTGGCACAGTGGAGGTGGCAAAGCCCCACGCAGAACAGAATGTCGTGCTCACAGCTCGTTGAGAGCAGGGAGTGTGGCAAGATGTATTTCTGGGACAGGAAGGGCTGTGGTTACTGCTGCTGACAACCAGCTAGGATGAAAAGAGGAAGGCACTGCCACAGGTCTCAGCTAACAGGGAACGGAAGTTCCAAAAATGGGGCTCTTGCATCTTGGCTCTACAGAGCACAGTTAATACAATGGAGGCGTTAGGGGACGGTATCCCAGTCCTCATGCCTGAACTTAGAGCAAACCTCCCATAATTGCCTTCCCCGTGAGGGCCCTTTTTCGTTTCCTCAAAAAATACTCACCAAGGTGCCCAAAGGAAGGGAAGCAGACAAGAGGGCTTGCGCCTCATGTGTTTGCTCTTTATGTTGGTAGGTGCATATTTATAACCCTTCCCCATCAGCCAGCCTGCAGAGATGCCTGCAAGACCGCTGATCATCCTGAGGCAGCGGGCTGTCAGGGCTCGGGGCATGGACTCTGAATTCCGGGGCCAGCCCTTCCAAACTGTGCCACTCTGGGCTTAAACTCTTCATCTGTAAAATGGGAGTGACAGATGCCTTGTCACAGAGTCGGGTGCCGGCTACAGAACAGAGCTCAGAGTAAGTGTCTAAGAAGTGTTGGCTTTTTCTACTGTTAAATCGCGTCTTTGCAATTGTGATGCACTTGGAATGAGTGACGATTATAAGTCTTCTTTTCAATCCCCAATTTTTCATAGTGGAGACTCAAACACAATTCATATCCTAAATAGTAATGCCTATTCTTTAGTGAGGACATACATGCCAGATACTGTGTGAGGTGCTTTACACTCATTATTTCTAATCCTTGTAACAACCCTATGAGAAAGTTTTATTTTCTGGATGCAAACAATGAAGAATTAAGTTCCTTTCTTAAGGTTACTGGCTTATATACTGTAGAAGCAGAATTCAAACCCAGGCACAATGGGCTCCAAAGCACGAAATATTTCTAATCCATCATGTGGCCGAACACTGTGTCAGGTCTCCCTTGGGCTAAGAGTGAATGGCTCAGGGTAAATCTAAGAGAAGACAAGGCCAAGAGCAAATCCTATTGGGTCCCTAGAATCACACTGGCAAATAGGCAGCACTAAGCACACACACACACACACACACACACACACACACACACACACTTTCTACCATCTATGAAAAGAAGGGAGCCAACGGCCAAACTTGTGGCTCCATTAAGACTGTGTTAAAACACACATTTTTCTCAATCATCACATAACAACGTCTCCATCTCCACAGATCTCCTTCCTCTGTCCATCCCCACAGGGTGACATCAATGAGCATCTCTCATCCACATCTACACATTATTTCCCAACTACTTGCCATGCTGCAAACAATTGTTCCAAAGATTATCATCGAATGCTAAGCGCATGACAATCCTTTAAGTAAATCCAACAATGTCTATTTCTTACACAAACTACCACAACAGCACATCTTCTCAATTAAAAGCTTCTGTGCAGGACAGGTGGTCCTAACCCCACCGACCCCACGTTGCTGAACCCCTCGCCGAGTCCGTAATGGTACTGCAACAGGCTGGTTAACTCTGCTCTAATGCAGGCAAGCTCCTCCTTCTTTGGACTCCCAGCTTTCTTCCTGGCTGATGCTTGTTTCTAGCAGAGACTTACTGACTTCTTTTGTCCTCAGGAGGCTGTACGCGCTGACACTTCTAAGGAAGCCAGAAATTATGTGTCCAACAGTTAAACCTTTGGGGGTACTTGCCAGAGGCCACAGAGAGCCAATGTGCTCTTCACAGAGGGGTAATTATGGGAAAAGATAACCCAAATCTCAGTAAGATCGTCTATTTACTAGATTCTGACCTCAGGCTTAGAAAATTAGACTAGCTCACTTCTCTGTATTCCCTAGCCATCTTTAGCACCTATTATAGGGCAGGAATTAGATTCAAATTCAAATACTTATTGAGAGCCTCCTCTTTGCCAGAAAACTCTGCCAGGTACTTGACATATGATATCACAACAGCTCCACAAAGTTGGCATGATCACCCCTGTTCTGGAAATGACGCCACTGAGAGTCATGGAGGTAAAGTGACTTTTCCCACATCACACCCCTAAGAAGAGGCGTCTGCAGAATCTGGACACATTAAGATGTAAAGGCCAATTGCTCAGTATTCCATAAGCTCGGTTTCTCGAGGCTGAGGTTTCCTGAAGACTGAGTGGCCACTCACAGGCACTGGACGAAAGCGCATACGTCTTGGCTGGCATCTCACCTACAAACTACAGGAGACCGAGCGCCAATTCTGCTCTTGCTCTCGGCGAGGAGCCAGATGTAAGGCTCCTCTAGGACAGATGCCATATGGAATCGGACCACGAGTTAGAGAGCACCAAGCTAGCGAGCACTGGTGGTATCGGTCTCAGAGCCAAGACGAAAACATAATGACGTTTGGGGCGGCGGGGCGGGGGGGGGAATGAGCGCGCTTACTTTTTTGCTTTTAGCACAGGCACCGACCTACTTCCCTACTCTATTTTTGTGTAAAGAAAACTAGATCAACAGAGGATATGCAAAATCTTCTGAGGTTCCTCTAAGCAGTCAAATGTTACCAAAATTATAATAATTGATTCAACAGATCATTGTTCTTAATTCCAGGACAATAAGCTTTTATAAGGCCCAGTGAAGTGCGGGTTTTCTTTTGGAGAGTGGTAACAAAACACTGATGGTTCCTTTCATCTTGTTGCCTGGAAAGCACCTTTCTGCATTATATCTCCTCTAATCTATAGGACAACTAGAGTAACAAATTTACAAAATGGGTATAAGAAATGATAAGTGGCTATAAGTAATTGTACTAATGTTGAAAAAAAAAAAAGACATAAAATGCCCCTTCAGAAGATATACCAAAAGGATGCCTCGTCTTGGAACAATTTTGTAAAAACACAGCTAATCTCCCTGATGGTTTATCAACAATTTTACTGTTCCTATCCTCTTCAACCACCTGATTTTTGCTTTTTAGAGGATCTTGTATCCATGCTGCCCAACCATGGGCAGTGATGGAAATGTTCTATAATTGCACAACCCAACATGGTAGCCAATAGTTACAAGCGGCTACTAAACACCTGAAAAGGGTGTAGTGCAGCCGAGAAGCAATTTTTAATTTTAACCTTAAACACCTCTAGCTGCAAATATACTTAAAAAAAAAAAAACTAATGAGAGTTGAAATTCACTAAAATATTATTTCATCAGGAGGTTTTGAGAAAACAAGAATAAGGGGCCAGGAAAATGACACCAACGCAGGAGCGCTGTGTGTGGG